TACGACCCCAATGCCGGCCACTCCATAATACAATGGGTGGTCGGGCGGGCCCATGGCCTGAGGGCCGCTTGGCGACCCCTAAGCCCGGCAGAAACAAAGAAAGAGAAAGAGAGAGAGAGAGAGAGAGACAGAAATGAAAGAAAGACAAAGAAAGAGCGAGAGAGAGAGAGAGAGAGATATGTATATATATTATATATATATATATACACACTTTTTTTTATTTTCTAATCATATATTTATATATTTTTACACCTATATATAGCGCAGATACGCATCAGGATTTCTTTGTGCCGGGCAGTAAGGTGCTTGAAACGACTGCGCCGATGTTCAACATAACCGCCCACATGCCTTTATGTCTGTACACATGTTTCCCTTGAGCAGATACGGTGGTTGCAGCAGCTGTAAGCCGCTGAGGCAGCTGCTCTTCGTCATTACGCTGCTGTGCGTGGGCCATGTCATCCATGACTTAGCGGATACAATGACTGCAGGAGTGGACCGAACGTGGATCGCGGCCTCTCCAGATGGGATCTTGATTGCTTTGCCCCTAGTCCTGGGCAAATGCCTTGTCAGCTGCTGTGGTGCAGTGCATGCCGAGTACTTCTTGCAGCACAAGGAGACGAAGCAGGTGCCCCTCTGGATCACCCAAGTACATTTCAAGACAGCAACGATCATCGGAGCCCTCACGGTGGCGCTCTTCATGGGGAACGTGAGCGAGCGCATCCTTTCAGACCGCTGGCACAACGATATCTTCTCACATCTGCCCAATGATGTGAGTGCTGGAGATCCTCGCATTCCCTTCTTCGGAGGCTGGATCTCTTGCAGGCTTAGGGTTCAAGGGTCCGGGGCCGCGGGTTTAGAGTTTAGGGCATTGGAGTTGGCACATGAGAGATTTCCAGGTTCAAGTTTAAGGAAGACCATTCCATAGCGTTTATGCTTGCCCCTGGTTGCTAGTTGTCAAGCATAAACTAAAGCTCTAGCTCTAGCTCTAACTCTAACTGTAACTCTAGCTCTAACTCTCACCCTTTCTTTGGCATGCAGACGCGACGTACGCAGTAGTACATGCATAGGGTAATGGAGTAATGGATGCTAAACACGCAAGACAAGCTCTCTGCTATGAATATTGTATACATATGCCTCATGTCACAACAGAGTCCACAAACACACATCTACTCTGGGTGAAGGGTCCCTCGCCCTTACGTCCCTAAACCCCTAAACCCCTAAACCCTAAAACCCTAAACCCTAAACCCTAAACCCCCGCCTCTGGGAGGCTGGGACAGCAACACCTGGATGCTGGCGGGGTGCCTCATCCTCAACAACTTCCTCGTGGCTGATCAGATGAGGAATCTCACTTCCATCGCGAAGCTGCTCGGCTGTGAGGTTCAGGGTTAATGTCGGAACCTGATTAAGAGACCCTGGGTCTTTTGTTAGGGTTCTGTAATATGATGAATCCCCCCATTTTTTGGGGTTTTGGGGCAGGGTTTGTTATTCAGGTCCCCACAGTCGCATATGCGTAGTCCAGGTGTAAAAAGGTTCCCACATTCGGGGGAGTTTAGGGTGTTTGCCAAATACGGCTAGCACGCAGAACCGGCGCCGGTCACGTCGGCCCTGGATGGATAACGTACCGGCCAGACTTGGCACAAAGAAAATGCACGGGATTGGCTAGAAAAACCCTTGGGAAGAAGGATTTGAGGCACAGCCTGAAGTTCCACTAACCTTTACCCTTTCCGCTTTCCTCATTATCCTCATGAGCACCATTGCTATTGGTAGTTGAACTCTACCCCTTCAGCCAAGCTCCCTAAACCCTAAACCCTAAACCGCATTGTTTGGGTTGGAGGTACGTGGCCTATGCTATCGGCCTGGTCTTGAGCTATTTGGTGCAGCTCTGGGAAGGCCGTGCCTTTTGCGCGTGGCAGGCAAGGAAGTCTGGGGTTAAAGTTTGGGGCACAGTAATATTGAGACTAAGATTTCAGGACAATTAGAAGATGGATGTATAAGGGGCAAGAGGAGAAGTGCTACTGGGAGGTTTGGGATGGTTGGTGGTTTGGCACTCATGGTTTCCAGCAGACGCAGTTGCAGGCTGGATGCAAAAAGTCTAGAGTTCATGGAGTTGTTGCCCTGCAGGATGGTGCCCCGGGCAATAAAGCGGAAGCGGACCCGACCCTAAGTCCCAATTAGCCCATTTTAAGTAGGAGGCAAAAAATTGGCCCATTACGACACCCCGAATGAAACCGATGCAGGCTTGCTCTTACGGTGGCCTCGCGCTGGCTGCTGTGGTGCCACGACGAATGTCATCAAGAGTGGACATTTCAGTATAGCGAAACAACCATAGATTTGCCAGATTTTTTGCATGTTTCTGATTCGCTTCATGTCAGCATTCCAGCATCGTCACGCCTTTGTTGCTTCTCGGGCTTGAGGTTTGAGTTGTTGTCTTGATGGCGTGATGGCTAGTAGTGCCCTAGTGCTACTCACGCTGCTCAGTCGGTTATTGCTGTTGAGTAGTTTCAGGTGCTCCATACAGTTGAGAGTAGTATCAACTAGTACATAGCTCTACTTGAGAAGCTTCTCTGCTCCTTGAGAGAGCTGTGGCACTTTTGAAAGCCGTTGCCCGGATGTTCAGGATGCGTCGGGCTGTACTTTTCGTTGTTATCTTGGGTCATGCTCTGAATCTTCTCGGTATCCCTCTGATGGTCAGTGGTGTTTCGACAGACCCAACAAGGAAATTATTACCGTTCCGGTGTAAGCCGTGGCAATGTAGCAGCCTTTTGTTGCTGGCAGCAGCAAAGCGGTTTCTTAGCCGCTAGCCGTATAGTCAGCAGGGCCAAAGCAGGAATAAAGCAGTATGCGCAACCTTCGGCTAAGGCACGCCAATCCCCCAAGTAAGCGATACCGGGCGCCTCCCTTTGCTCTCCGCCAAGGCTTACATTGCTCTACCAGGGCCGGGCCACTTCAGATCAACAATGAAAAGCTGAGTGTGAATTCGTGGGACTCGGAGCATCGATCAGCGAAAACTCGACGGCCCTAATGTTACATGTTTAGGCAGAGCCATTCGTCGAGCATGAAGACTGCAACTGTCCCGGTTCTATCCAAGAGTACCATATTCATGCAGCGTCATGCAGGGCCCACGGCTTTTGCAAAGTCGACTCTCGCACGCCTAAGCGAAGTCCGAAGGCTCGCGAGCCCAAATTTTATCTTCCAGACCATAGTTTTTGGGAATGGACATCGTGCAGCTGTACCTGAGGCACGAAGCACCAAAACGTATACCGTTGTCCTCAAGACTGAGCCTAGAGCTCACAAAGTTGTGCGTCCATCTTGCAGCTGCCGCAGTGCACCAATTACACCTTGGTCAGATGTGCAGTTGTCGAAATTGTCGGTTCATTCTGGTTGTGGGTTTGTGTGCGCAACCCAATTCGTCATGGAATGGGTGGCCAGATTTGTGGCATTTTGTGGCCAGTTTTGACAACCGTCCACCTGTCTTGCTCGGTTTGGCTCTTGTGAAGCAAGGGAAGGAGCTTGAAATTTGCCGCTCCTCGTTTCCCAGCGTTCACCGGCCAAGTCCTGCACGCTGAACCCGAGGGTGTTTCGTTTTTAGACGACCACTATCCAGAATGCTGGACTGGCATTCCACGCACCCTGGAGCAGCAACAGAGGAACTATCTAACAAAAACAATCGCCCCAAGCACTGATGTTGTTCAGTGGAGCAAGTTCAACGTGCCAGACAATGGGTGCAGCAATCATGCCGAAATTCGAACAACAGCACACTGACAGCACTAACAACAATAGCAGTTTCTTCTGCCTGCGAGAGTAAGTCCCACATTGCCGATGGTGTTAATCATCACGATGTGACTATTATTTCACATGTCACTCCTGATCTTATCATCATCATATTGATGAGATGGCATCATCATGATCAGCACTACTTTGGCTTTGCCAGTGCTACTACGACTGATAATAACTACTACTACTACGACGACGACTACTACTACTGCTACTACTACTACCACCACCACCACCACCACCACCACTACTACTACTACTACTACTACTACTACTGCTACTACTACAACTTCAACTACTCCTACTACTCTTGTAGCTACTACTACTGCTATTATTATTGCTATTGCTACTGCTGCTGCTGCTGCTACTACTACTACTACTTCTACTACTACTACTACTACTACTACTACTACTACTACTACTACTACTACTATTACTGCTATTTTATTCATTCCAAAAGAAGTAGGTTATTCAGCTTGGCGTCAGGTACATGGCAG